ATTAAGGGTGTGGATTAATTAAGGGGGTGGATTAATTAAGGGGTGTGGATTAATGTGGATTAAGGGTGTGGATTAATTAAAGGGGGTGCGGATTAATTAAAGGGGGTGCAGCGCGGGGAGGTTTATTTAAGGGGGTAGGTTTAATTAATGGGGGTGCAGGTTTTTTTTAATTAATGGGGTTGCAGTATTTTATTTATTAAGGGAGGATGTGCACTGCAGATTTTTGTTAAGGGGGTGTGCAGGATTTTAAGGGGGTGTGCAGGTTTTTGTTATTAAAGGGGGTTGTGCAAGTTTTTTTATTTAATAAGGGGGTGTGCAGGATTTTAAGGGGTGTGTGCAGGTTTTTTGTTATCAAAGGGGGTTGTGCAAGTTTTTGTTTTTTTTATTAAGGGGGTGTGCAGGGTTTTTTATTAAGGTGGGTGTGCAGTGTTTTTTATTAAGGGGGTTGTGCATGGTTTCTGTTTTTTATTAAGGGGGTGTGCAGTGTTTTTGTTTGTTTGTTTTTTTTTAAATTAAGGGGGTATGCAGGGTTATTATGTGTAGGGAGTGTATGAAATTTATGTTGTCAGTGTGCAGGATTTTTATATAAAGGCCGAAGGGCAGGGGTTTTCTAGAGGGGGCGAGACAAGGGGCTTTGTAGAAAGGGGCAGAGCAGGAGTTTTCTAGAAGTTTCTCACCTGCCCCTTTCTACAAAAGCACTGGTCTTCCCCCTGCTAAAAAACTGGAACATTTATACAAAACTTCTGCCCTGGCCCCCTTCTACAAAACCTCTGCCCTAGCCGCTACATCTTTGAACCCAAATCCTTTTCCTATGCTGTTTCTAAGGATCGGCTCAATGAAGTGGTCTGGGTGCCAGGTCCCTCTAGTTTTAACCCTGCAGCTGAAAACATAGTTTCAGAGATGTTTCACTGAGGGTTAATCCAGCCTCTAGTGGCTGTCTCACTGACAGCCGCTAGAGGCGCTTCCGCAATTCTCACTGAAAACTCACTGTGAGAAGACGCTGGACGTCCATAGGAAAGCACTGAGTAATGCTTTCCTAAGGGCAGTTTGAATGCGCACGCGGCTCTTGCCGCGCATGTGCATTCGGATCTGCCATCGGCAGGGGGAGGAGAGGTCACCAGCGCCGAGGGAGCCCGACGCTGGAGAAAGGTAAGTGGCTGAATGGGTTTAAAGGGGTTAAAACCCCTTCAGCCATTTATCTTAATCCAGTGCCGGGCTCCCTCGGCGCTGGTGAACTGTCCTCCCCCGCCGACATCAGCTCCCGAGTGGCCTTTCTCAATGCTTTCCTATGGACGTTCTGCAAGCCAGATGCGATTTTTGCATCTGGAGGGTTAAAATCTGGGGGAGCTGGCACCCAGACCACTTCATTGAACCACTCTGGGAAATATAAGACAGATATCGCACTAGCGAACCCTAGAGCTAAAATAAATTTAGTATTTTTCTGCAGAAAACACCAATATGAAGTGAAATCGACCAAGCGGGTCTCAGCAACGAAAAATTAAGAAGGCAAAAGAAAAGTCAGCTGAGGCGATGTCTGGATCAATTTTAAAATATGTTGCACCTTCAACATCTACCGCAGTAGGAGAAAGCGCTGAAGACATTCAGTCTGTTGAATCCAGAGGTGAAATGCCTGAACTATCTTCTCAAGAAGCTTCATATGGGAAAGCGCAAGAATTGGAGAAGATCATTTTATCTTCAAGCGGTGAAAGTGATGTAGATGAAGGCGATGCCAGCAGAAGCCTGCATCAGCAAGACTCTGATGATGATGATGATGAAGAAGAAGAGGAGACTGTTCGACTGTCAGTTTATTCTGATGTTGCTGCTTGGCCAGTTCCAGTTCCAGATGTTTTAAGAGTGGACCTTATTAAGAGGGGAAGTGAACCTTTCCAAAATAGAGATGGGCCATTCAGTCCTGTTGAAAGGCAAGGAGGGAAATCAAAAGGGAAGAGTCGACAGTTGACCACTGCATGGTTCTAT